GCTTCATGAATGAGACATGAGCAAAAAAAATGTTCTGTAAAGATTTTGAGGTAATATGGCATGTGGCATATTTTCCTATCAAGCTAAGAAACATTAGCAACAGTCAGATTGATTGCATGGTGTCATTTGTGTCAATCTCCCCACAGGTTTGTGTGTGACGGTACAGTGGAAGACAAGATCTCTTCACTACAGGAGAAGAAGAAGGAGCTGGCTCAGAAAGTCTTGTCTGGAACTGGATCATCATTTACTAAACTGTCTCTGGCAGATCTCAGGGTCATCTTCGGTGTGTGATATACATTTTATTTAATAAAAATAATATTAAACTACAAAACATAATTTTATCTACTTTTGTTGTTGTCTCGAATCCTGTATTGTATTTCTAGGACAATATCATGAAATCAAAGACTTTATATTCAAATGGTTCATGTTTAATTGAATAAATTTAAAGGATGTCACTATGTAATTGTCATGAAATATTTTTTTAATCTCAGTTCCTTGCTAAACTTGATTTTAACATGAGCACACTCACCTTATAGAGGTTACACAAACAAAGCTAGACAACAGACAATGGGAACATGAGGGCTATTTATAGTTTTCAGTCACATGACTGGCTCAAACACCTGGAGAACAAAACATCCAGAGAACTGCAGCACAAGCCTGTCAGTTTTTCCTCTGATTCCAAGCCATATATATTTAGATCACCTCTCAGAAGAAGAAAAAAGATATGTGAACAAAATGCAAGTTTTGTTCATTTGCAATCCATAAGTCTTAAATTGTACAAGAAAGTGTTAATTATGATTTCAAGAGGTCTTAAATTTGAGTACGGACCAGAATTGCGATGCAGCTTACTGTGACGATTAAACTTCAAAAGGCTATGATATGATTTCATTAAATAAACATGAGCGCTGCATGTTTCAAAGTCTGTGCTGCACTGCTTTGTGTACTGCCGTTACCGGGGAAACAGTTATAGGTCTGCAGTTCGAAAGCGCCTCCTGCTGGGAGAGAATGAATGTGCATTTTCAATAAGGCTGCTGTTGTTGTGAGTAGGGTATTCCTGCAATACCGGAGGCTGTAGTTTCGAGAAGTGTATAACTACAGCCTGGAGATCTCCAAATGGGGGTGGGAGCTCCAAAATGGGGCGTGGCTTCCTCTCATTGACAGACAGGCACATGACACGCATGCGCAATTTTTCTCCCAATCCACTTCAGCGCAAACTCCGCCCCACAGCTGATTCTAAAGATTTTAATGGTTGAGTCAATCACAGTGTTGATTTCCTACACTATGCTACAAAAAAATGCTAACCCCTAAATCTACCCCACACCTGACCCTAACCAACCAGTGAAACTGACTGCACGGCTGGATTGGTGCTGAATAGCGTGGTAAAGAAAGTTGCAGTTCAGAAGATATATAAATGCATCATTCATTCATTCAGTTAATAAGATTATGCGATATAAGATCGCCGGGCCGTTCCGTAACTCCCTAACCGGACCTCACCGGACAATGGCACCTTTTTAGTTACACCCATCATTACTATCCCCTCCTACCCTGCGAGTTTCGTGCCCTGGGACACCCCCATTGCTTAAAACAAAGCGATAGAGTAAAATATTTCCCCTGCACTGTGCTGTCCTTTTATATCATGAAGCAGAGGTTCAAACTCCGGTCCGAACACCACTGGCCACGAGCTTTGGGCTTTTTGAGATGCACCTGTAGATGTAGTCACTAGTTCTGTCCTACTTGTTTACCTCACTATGACTAGGCAGAGAAAGTTTCAGAATACTGAAGAACTGTTGTTAATGTGTCAGTGTGTGTGATAGTTTACCCATAAATTGTCAAATGGTCCAGAAGACAATCTTTGACACTCCACAAAGAGGGTAAGTCACAGAAGGTCATTACTGAAAAGGGGTGGCTTTTCACAGAGTGCTGTATCAAAGCATATTAAATGCAAAGTTGACTGAAAGGAAGAAATTGGGTAGGAAAAAACGCACAAGCAACAGAGATGACAGCAAGCTTGAGAATACTGTCAAGCAAAGCTGATTCAAACACTTGGGAGAGCTTCACAAGGAGTGGACTGAAGCTGGAATCAGTGCATCAAGAGTCACCACACTCAAACATTTTCAGGAAAAGGGCTACCAAGCCACTTCTGAAACAGAAACAACGTCAGAAGCATCTTACCTGGGCTAAGGTGAAAAAGAACTGGACTGTTGCTCAGTGGTCCAAAGTCCTCTTTTCAGATAAAAGTAAATTTTGCATTTCATTTGGAAATCAAGGTCTGGAGTCTGGAGGAAGACTGGAGAGGCACAGAATCAAAGCTGCTTGAAGTCCAGTGTGAAGTTTCTGAAGTCAGTGATGATTTGGGGTGCCGTGACGTTTGCTGGTGTTGGTCTATTGTGTTTTATCAAGTCTAAAGTCAATGCAGCCGTCTACCAGGAGATTTTGGAGCACTTTATGCTTTCATCTGCTGACAAGCTTTATGGAGATGCTGATTTCCTTTTCCAGCAGAACTTAGCACCTGCCCACAGTGCCAAAACCACTTCCAAGTGGTTTGCTGACTATGGTATTACTGTGCTTGATTGGCCAGCCAACATGCCTGACCTGAACCCCATTTGGAATCGATGGGATATTTTCAAGAGAAACAGTCGATCCAACAATCCAGACGAGCTGAAGGCTCAATAGTGCCTCAGCAGTGCCACAGGCTGATCGCTTCCATGCCACGCCTCACTGTCATTTGAGCTAAAGGAGCCCCGACCAAGAATTGAGTGCATAAATGAACATACTTTAACTGTTTTTTCCAAAGCATTGTTAGATTGCCAGTGTTTCCTGTTATAGCAATGCAAAGATTTGATTTCAAAAACAGCATCATAACTATTAAAATGTATCTTATAATTTTAAATCTGTATTTAACCTCAGAAGGATCTCAAAATAAGAAGAGGTGCTAAAATCTGATTTTGTGGTGGCTGTGCTTTAAAATTATATTATTATAATTTTAATTCAAGTGAAGTATTTTGAAAGTCTGACAGTAATCAGACTTTAATCAGAAATAAATTACTTTAATCAGTAATCAGATCAGCACAATGGCGCCGACGCTGATGGCTGCCTCCGTGGCGTGCTCTGCAGTTGTTTTTATGTTTTTGTTAGTTTGTCCTGTCCTTAGTTATATCCCTGCAATCAGTTTCACCAGAAACGAATTGCTGGACATTCGGAAGTACACACCACCCGATATTTCACCGGTTTTCGACTATTCGGATGTTTTGCTGGACATTGTTGTCGGGGGAGCTGTGGCGCTGATCAAACGCTTCAGGACGCGCAGACGGGGGAAGCGTGCCGGCGCGCTCGTCAAGCTCAGACAGCGCGGATTCAGGACGCCGTTGCCTAGCATCCATCTGGCGAACCTCCTGTTGAGGGGTACAACGGGGCTAAAGGTTGTAGATTTAAGTTGCAAATTAGATTTGCAAAAATTAATGCAAATATTTTGAGACAAAGGTCTTCTTAACAATTTTCAGTTTTGTTTAAGATAAAGCAACAGTTTTTAAATAACGAAAGAATATGTAAAAGTATGGCATTTGGGGTAAAAAGCGCCCCTGCTGTCATGGCTAAAAGGCACAGTAATTAACATGATAATTAATAGATGGCTGACTTTTCCATTTGTTGACATGACATGGTTAGATTCAAATGATTAATATAATATATTATGTTGGGTGTCCATATTAGAGATAATCACCATGTTTAGAATGAAACCATCATATTTAAAAACATGATATTAATCATATCATAAAATATAATTTGTTGTTACTGCTGTAAATATATATTCAATTATTACTGGATGTCCTTCAATGTTTTCATAATTTTTCCTTATTAAAATTATTTTGTTTCTGTATTTTAAAAATATATTTTTTTATATTAACATATTTTAATGACAGTATATTTATTGAACAAAAATGTATTCTTTTATTTTTCAAAATAAGCAAAAAATAGTAAAAAAAAATTATAAAGTGATTGTTTTGAACTAGTATTAACTTAGACTTTATTTAAAAAAAAAAAAAAACTATTTTAGCTGAAGTATTTGTATCAATACCGTGTGCCTTTTACACCGTGTGTGGGGTAAAATGCCCCCCCCTTGTCACCTCATACATTAATACGATTTTTAAACAAAATAAACAACTTGAATGATCTATTTTCACACAAAATCATCTGTTGCTCCATTAATATTCAATACAAACGTATATTTTTTTCTGCAATTATATATTTTGGGCGCAGTGAATAGCACATTTTTCTTAAGGTGTGCCTTTAGCCCCATTGTACCCTACTACTGTAAGGTTAACCTGCCTGCTTTAAATGTTTCAAAATGATTGACAGTTGAAAACATTAATTAGAAATTTAGAAAAGTAATCAAATGTAATTAGTTACATTACTTTATTAATTGAAATAGTTACACTACTTATTACATTTAAAATAGGGTAACTTGTAATCTGTAACCTATTACATTTCCAAAGTAACCTTCCAAACACTGGTAATGTTTTAAAGAAGTATCTTATGCACACCAAGGCTGCATTTATTTGATAAAAAATTAAGTAAAACCACTATTTTTTTATTTATACTGTGATGGCAAAGGTGAATTTATCTGAATTTTCAGCTGTAGAATTAATTTTATTTACAGAAAGCAAAAATAATTGATATTACACATACTCCATGTCAAAAGCTATAAAACTTAGTGTTGCAATAACCCTGGTCATTTTGCTTCTCTGAATGAGGATTTGCAGCAATAATATTATTATCCTTGTTTTAACTTGCTAAGTAAACTTCAGACCAACTTGCAAAGCACCATTATGTCATGTTATCTAAACTAATGATCTTAACTTTAGGGATAACCAAGCAAAAAGATTAATGATCAAAGTTGTCTTCAAGAATTAGTTAAAATACTGTGTAACTTTTTTTTACAATCTTTTCATGACTTTGTTTATAATGATTTGAAATAACAGTAACCAAAAAATAACATTTGTGAGTAGGTTTTGTGATGCTTTATTCAAGTCACTGATCCAGGTTATGGAGGTATTCATGTTATAAAAACACAGATTAAACAAGTCTCTATACAATCATCCCACAAAAACAGACATTGCAAAATTATGACTTAATATATCTATTCCTTCTTCTTTTTCTGCGTTTTCTTGAAGCACTTCCTGAAACAGAACATGCAGCTTTTGACAGTCACAAAAATAACAGTCACTAGAATGAGAAGGAGAAAGCCAATGACATCCAGAGAATGATACTGAATCCAGTTCAGCTCGTGGGCTGCAGGTCTGAGATGTGCTGCCCCTTTGTGTCTCATAACAAACTCAGTCCAGAACACAGCCAGGTCCAAAGGCTCAATGGGACGGTCCCTATGAATAGCTGAAAGCTCTGTTATCTTCTCCTTGTAGCTGTTGAGTCAAAGATGGAGGAAGTATGTTTAGATTTTGTTGTATACAAAACTACTGCAGTCCTTACAATAATCTACACTGAAAACATTTTGGTGTGTGGTATGCTTTGAAACAATTTTCACTCAGAAAATGCTAGTAAATTTCACAAATAATTAATTACAAAAGCAAAATTAAATTGAATGTGAAATTTTGAAGTAGAGAGACTAAAAAAAGGGTCGTTTTTACAGTGCAATACTCTAAATAAGGACTAATATTCCACTTTGAGTTCAATAATAAATGTGCCATGAATATAAACAATTGCATCAGTGCATAAACTGATTTCATGCACAGGCTAATCGTGATTATGTTTACCTTTTGTCATTGATGACCTTTCTCAATGCAACCAGCAGTTTTTCTGCGGTCAGATCATGGATACTCAGCGCTTCTGCAACTCCTCGAGACACTAAGCGCTGAACGTTATCCCCTTGGTCGCCAAACAGAGGAAGCATCACCATTGGCACCCCATTACAGATTCCTTCATAGATTCCATGTGATCCACCATGTGTAATGAAAGCCTTAACCTTAGGATGGCCTAAAGGAAAACACATTCAGTGTAATAGTGTGTTAGCAGTTGACGTGATGAAGTCAATTATAATATGGCATGATAATTCAAACATCATGTACTCTCTGCATACTCAGCGATGCCAAAAAAGCTAATTTCTATGAATAAAATGTCTTACAGGAGGGTTAGAGGGTCAAAGGAAAATATAAACATACCCAAGAGATCATTTTGTGGCAGCCACTTCATCAGTTTGACATTCTTTGGAGCATTTTCAGGGACTGGTCCAGTGTGCCTCCATAGCACCTACCAATCAAAGAGAATCATGAAGGTTAATAATATGCAGCCATGTAATCCTTAACATATGACAGATGACATGCATTATTTTGTATAACATTATTTTGTTTCACAAATATATGCCTGGCCTTACTTTGACCCAAAAATGTCCTTAAATGTGAGTTTAAATTTGCATTTAAGCGTTTAAAAGTAGTCTTTTATTGATTTATGTTTAAGTCTATCCTCACTTACCCTCTGAGGTATCTGCCTGAATGCCTCAAATAACTCTCTGGCTTTAGCCTCGGGTAACTGTGACACCATGGAGCCCAGAGTGAAGACCACAAACCCATGCTCTCCAGAACCGTTCACAAACTCCTCCAGCTCCTGCACAGAGAACAGATGTCAGCACTGAACACCGGCTTCATGTTCTAAGGACACAGTGGAGCAAGCTTTCACTGTAAACTCCCCTTCTTTTGTTTTGCTCACAGATATCCACATGAACTTGTATGTTCAAACTTTGAAAAGCAGCATAGGCTACTGCAACAATTAGCAATTTTATTATTTGACCTAACACTCTGAGTTCAAGTGTTTTAGTTATTAACATATAAACAGATCTACCTCTTGGTAAAATAAGAATTTACTCTGTTTGCTTACTCAACAGTGCACATCCATACAAAAAGCGTCTTCTTTCCCCTAGTGTTTCATACTGTAAACACTAAGGGGCACCTCATTGTTTCCATCCACCTTTTTTTATGCGCATTTTGGATTATCGCATTAAAAAAAACGCTGGATGGAAACACCAAGATGCGCATAAATTCTAAAAATGCGCATTAAAAAAACGTATGCGCACAACTGAATAGGATAAACTTTTTATCCAATGAGAAAAAATGCACATAAACTACGATGGAAACACATTTACCGAATAAATTCCACCATGCACATTGAAAAAGTCATGTGACTTTGCGCCATGAGACGGGATAATTTGACAAACAGCGGCCTGATCTTGTTCACAGCATCTATATGTTGTTTTGGTCGTTCGGAAATGCCTGAGCAAAGTCTGTCATCAAAGTATTTCTGTATAATTACTGTCTTACATGACTGCGTTCCCAAACAGCAGGCATCCACCTCTAAAAGCAATGACCGCATTTATTGTGTTACGTACTCTGCTCTCTCTGAAGCGCAAGTAATTTATTACATTTGAAAATTATTATATTCAGTGGTTTCTCCTAGTTTTCTTAGAGATATTTATTGCCAGTTTATCAGGAAGTGACGATTTTGTTCTCGTTGGAAACGGTGCTTTATTCGCAAATGTTTTATGCGCTATTCCAGTTTTTTGGAAGTTAAATTCACATCTTTGGATGGAAACATAGCTACTTCCTCTTAAAGATTATAGTGGTCAAAGTCGAAAGCATAAAAAAAAACATTGCCTGTAATTAAATTCATGCTGGTTTAGAAAATCACGCACAACATCTAAACTCCTAAACTGGCTCTCTGAGAGTTATGTTTAATGGAATTATACACATCTTCAGAAGTACAGTTTATGACCGTCGTGGATTGCAATTTGATATTTAAACATAGTTCATGATTGTGTAGGTTGGCACTCTTCAACAATGTCCTTACAGACAATCTCTGCATAACTGTAACTGTTTAATAAACATCATGTGATGCAACCAGTCTCTTTCAAAGTACATAGAACATCATGTGTTCTAATATTACTGCTCATAAATTCATGGCATCAGCCTGGACCAACATCTTCTAATTTGACCAACGGATCTAACCAGCCAGGCTTTGCGCATGGATTACATAGTGGGTAGAGTATAGTCCACTCTAGTTGTTCAGCCTGGTCTCATGTTTATACATAGGTACAGCCCAGCCAGCGTTAGAAAATGTATTGAATAATATCTTATTTAGTATCTAAATAGCCTACTGCAAACATGGCCTAAAAACTGCTCAAAGTTTTACACTGATGAATTTGCATCTTACCTTTGTCAGTGGGCCCTTCTTAGCACAGTTGATGCCCCCTATTTGGACCATATTTGGCATTTGGGGTTTGGGATACTCAAAGGTAAATTCGTACCTTAGAAGCCAGACTGCACCGTGACTTAATTGCTCTTTGTATGTAGTGTCCTTCTGCAGATATCTACTGGCCAGTTCATCAGTTCTAGCAAACAGTTTGCGGCATAGGAAAACATCAAAAACTGCCATAAGCGTGCTTTCTATTCTTTGAGGGAAAGTCATCTTATCTGTGTAACCAATGAAGAAGCGCGGGACAAAAGACAGAGGTGAGGGACACTGGGTGGCTTCCACATCAAGCAGACAGGGAATCATATGCAGGAAGTAAATGGCAGGGAGTGAGAAGGAATCGGCAATGATGGTGCCACAGGGCAGGAAAGGATCAGTGAGCAAAACATCAAATCCTGTTTCTCTAAAACTCTTCATCAGGGTCTTGTCATACAGCAGCCCTTCACAGGCTGTCACATGCATATTCAAGAACTGAATCAGGTTCCCTAAATTCTCAACAATATCAGTCAATTTTGGAGGCTTCTCAAATGCATTCTTCTCTTATGTTGTCCAAGTTGGCCTTCAGATCAGCATGGGTGTTGGGCACACGAAAATATTTAGTGGTGTAATTAGCAGACTTCCCAATCAGAACACTGGTTTCAGGGACCAGGACCACCATCTCATGACCCCTATGAGAATGCTCTTCCACCAGGATCTTCATGCTCAACCAGTAGCTGCCATCCACTGGCATGACAAGTACCTTCCCAGCCGGCACGGACCCCGAGGAGAACAAGCGTAGCAAAGCTAGAAGCCCCAGAGCGGGAACAGTCAGTGCTCTCACCACCAAAGAAATGTGTTTGAGAGTCTAAGATGATCCGGCATACAGTTAAAATAACTGTATTAAAATAATATGTCTTCACACTTTCATGATGCAGGTGGAAACCGTCAGATATTTACCAGTGGCTCCAACAAATGAATTGTACTTTTGAGTGTTGTCATGAATACCCAGAGATACTTGCTATCATAAAGTACAGATTCAGAATGCATCCATACCATACTTAACATCTGGTTATTAAAAAATTCTATGCACACTGAATTCAAATTTAATGCCATCATATTTATCATTGTCATCAACAATAACAACAGTCAAAGCCACAAATTACTAATAATGTCAAGAGATTACTACAAACACTGTAAGCCCTTATGAATTCAGCTAATGGTCTAATTAGTTTGGTACTAAAACTGGTTCACGCCAAATAGGTTTTCTCTCACTGTCTGTCTGTATGAAAGATGAAAGAATGTGGCTTTTTATATACACAGTATACTTGAGTGTCACCTACTGGTGCATCTATGCAATCTGCAGAAAGATTCATGGAAAATCCCCACCATTAATGCACAGACTGACAAATACAGACAAACAGAAAATGAAAACGTGACAAAAGTGAAGCGTCTCAGTGCTTTTGGACTAAATTGCTAAAAAATCTAAACCATACTACTCTTACTATTTCTGCTATATAATATGCCAGCAGAATAAGTAAGAGTAGTATAGGGTCCAGCATCTGCCATCTGTAGGCATCAGCAACAGCTTCTCTGCCCATACTTGTAGATCTTTAAGAGTCTTTTATGTGTTCTTCACAGATATATATATATATATATATAAAATTTATTTTTTATTTTTTTTGATAACCTTGCTTATCCAGTTGTTGCGTTTAAACTGACGGAATGCTAAAAAACCCAGTTCTACACTCAACTCATGCACGCGCACGCATTTCAAGAACTCTCTGTCACATGCTGAACACAACACCCCCCCCCCCCTAGAACTTGATGAACTTAATGAAACAAGTTTCAATGTGGCCCTCAAACCATAAGAGAGAAAAACATATAACACCTATGCATGAAAGTCTGTGATATAATCTTCCAGGTAGGTAGGACGAGCCCTTGCCCGGACTGGTCTACCTCCCAAAGTCAGCTGCTGGGGCATTTCCTGGTCATTTTGGATAACATCAAGCAATGGCTGAGAAGGGTGAGGGCCATCTGCTGACAGGAGTGGTGGCAGGTCAGGTCCTGGCTGTTGGGAGGGCTCCCCGAGCTGGAAATCTTGAGGTGCCTGGTATGACCATACCTGCACTGGTTCTGATTGTGGGACTGGGGAATTGACTCCTTGTGCTGCTCCTGCATTGGGCTCCGTTGCCCACGGCCCTTTTGTTGCTGTAAGAGGGATGGGCACTTTCTGCAATCTACTAGCATGCCAGCGCGAGCCGTCACTTAACAGAAATGTGGTGGATCCTAGCTGACGGACCACTTGGTGAGGTTCAGACCAAAACGATGCCATTTTACTGCTATGGTGAGGTCTGCGGACTCTCACCCAGTCCAGTACCTTGATGTCAGTATGCCTGACCTTGTATCTCTTATCGAAGTTATCCTTCATTCGCCCCTGGTTTGTAGTTACGGACAAGCCCTGTGCTCTGAGCCTGTCTAGGGGCAATTCCATCTCCTGGCCAAGCATGAGCAGAGCAGGTGAAGCTTGAGTGGTGCTGTGCTGGCTAGCCCTGTAGTGCAAAAAGGTTTGATTAAGTGCCATTTGAAATGAGTACCCCTGGACCAGATGCGCCCGAATTCCATTCTTAAGGCTCTGATTAAACCTTTCCACCCCACCGTTTGCCTGGGGATGGTAGAGTGCGACACGAATATGCTGAATTCCCTTATTGCTGAGGAAGTTGGAGAATTCTGCAGAAATTAACTGGGGCCCGTTTTCAGTTGTTATGGCATGGAGCATACCCCAACGAGCAAAGAGACTGTCCAGTATCTGCGTGATAATCTGTGATTAGTCTGTAACTGTCCCTGCCGGTACTACCTCAGGCCATTTGGAATGGAGATCGTAGATGACAAATACTAAGTGCTGATGAGGAGTGCTTACTGACTCCATGAAAATGCAATAGTGCTGATGTAGGAATTCCATGGTGTAAGAAATTATAGTCTGCCTCAACCTAACTTCCACTCCAAATTGTGTATTAAACTATGCTCCTTTCCCTACAAAGAGCTTAATTATCATATAGATAGTTCTTTCCGATCTTAATCATATGTAAATAGTACCTCCGGAGCGATAATTTGTCACTTATAGCGTGGGAGCAGCAGCAGGCCGTCAAGAACCATCTGCTGACAAAAAGGGTACATAAAAGAACCGCTATGGATTCTGTTTAATCTTATCACCTTAACATTTGGTTGTTCCCACTTGAGTCTACCGAAGATGTGGGAACGGAAGGCTATCACTTTCATTGTCATCCGCAATTTACATTTAAAACGAAACTTAATTTACATGTTGAGCGGGAAGTTGAACGTAAGACAGTATAAAATGATTGAGCTTAGGATGTTCGGGGTTCAGT